AGACATTCAGCTACCACTTATTATGTGCTTCATAGGTGCCCCATGGATATACTAAACCCTCTACATGCAATAATTATTTCATTTAAACCCCTAGTAGTTCTCCCAGGTCATTGTTTTTATGTCACCATTTCACAGATGAGGAAAATGTAGGTCAGAGAGGGTCACTCATTTGTCTCCTGTCTTATTGCAAAGGCTCTGCTCTCAACTGCCCTTCTATGGTGTCTTCTAAGACATGCCTCACTCACGGCCTGGTAAAGGCATTTAGCAAAGGTGTGTCCTAGGCCTTCACAAGAATAGAGCCAGGCAGTAACTGAGGCTGGATACTCAGAAAGGAATGTGATGTGGTACCTGCTTTTAAAGAGCTCATGAGGAGGAAAGCAAGAAAACAATTCATTTGCCCCCTGTGATAAGGGCAATGAAGGCCCTTGGAACTTGGGGGAAGGAGTCACGCTTCAGCAGTAAGGGACAGGGAACGTGAAGAATGAATCTTCCCATGTGGCTGAAGCCCTGGGTCTGAAGGGAAGCAGAGTAGGCTGTATGATGGGAAAGAAGCCTGGAGACCAGGCTGTGAAGGGATCTGAATGTTTGCTGAGCACCCATTGTGAAGGGCTTAGAAGACCCACTTTAAGAAGCTTGGATTTTACTCTTGTGAACAGTGAAGAGCCACCAAATATTTTTTAAATGTTGTAGATGTAAGATCAGAACCTGTGTTTATTATAATGACTCTAATTACAATGTAGACAGTACATTAGTGGCACAGAAGCTGAAGCTGAGTCATTTGGGAAGCACATGCAAAGTCCAAGAGGAGAAAATGGTGAAATGGAGAAGAAAAAACAGTTTGAGAATTACTCTAGAAGGGATCTGGGAGGGCCAAGTGGATTTGAAGGAAACAAAAAAGTAAGGGTGAAGGTTAGCAGCTCTGAAGGAAGGTGGAACAGAGTTGGAATCCTGGCTCTCTGAGCCACAGTCACACCTCTAAGGTCATCCCTAGATGATCCTTCGACTCTCATTTCCAAAAGACTCCAAGCACCTGCTAACTGCTGTGACTGCTGTCTCTGGCCCAAGCTCTTAAACCTCCCACTGTTCCCCATGCATTTCCATCAGCCAAGTCCCCCTAGCCTCTACCTCTTCTCCTGACACTCCATTCTCCTCCTGGTCTAAATAAGGCCAGCTCTCCCATTGCCGCCCCTTCCCAAGTACGATGAGGCCTGGAGTAGAAGTAAGGAGGTCAAGGAACTGATCTCAAAGTAAAGGATGGGTTAGGGCAGGAGAAGTGGTAAAGAGGAAGAGGCAATGAACCAGGTAAAAATCTCTAAAGGATGGACTTCCCTGGTTGTCCAGTGGTTGGGAGTCCGCCTCCCAATGCAGGGGACACAGGTTCAATCCCTGGTCCGGGAAGATTCCACATGCCATAGGGCAACTAAGCCTTTGCACGCTAACTGCTGAGCCTGTGCTCTGAAATAAGAAAAGCCACTGAAATGAGAAGCCCGTGCACCACAACTAGAGAGTAGCCCGTACACAGCAACAAAGACCAAGGGTAGCCAAAAATAAGTAAATTAATGTTAAAAAAAAAACCTTCAAAGGACAGTGGGGGTCAGCTTGGGGTCTAGAGGTGACTGCAGTAAGGAGGAGGCAATTTTGAAGCATCTAGCATTTTGCAAGAATAGAAGAAATGGTCTGAACATAGCAATGAAGACCTGGGAGGAAGGGAGCCTTTCTCTCTTACGTGTTTCTCTAATCAGTTTGCTTATTGTGTACTACTGCACCCAGGCTCAAATGTGCCCTGCCCCACAACCTCATCCTCAGCTGCCTCCTTCACGTCATTATGACCCAAGAGAGCAGAAACAACCACGGAGATGTCCTCAGGCTTGCAGTACCAAATGTACCACGCGACTGACACCCACACCCCTGCTCCGCTTGGCCTCCTGCTGCCAAGGATGGGCCATCCCTGCTCCTCGCTGAGTCTGACCCTCCACTTGTGCCGCCCCCTCGTCCATGTGTGGACTTCCTTCCTGCAGGGCTTGTCTCTCTTCTGCGTTGTCAATTTCTCCCTCTCTATTACAATCTTAATACCCAGATGTACCCACTCTCTCTCGGGTGCCCCTCCAGCCACTGCCTCATGAATCTTCTTCCTTTGCTGGCATTGGTTCCCCACCTCCACTGTCTCCTGGGCCCACTCCAGTCACTCTGTCTCCACTACCTCTTCCTGGGAACTCCTCCTGCCAAGGTTCCCACCAACCTCCAGTTTAGCAAAGCCACTTCATCTCTGTCCTTCCAGCCTCTGCCTCTTAAGAACAGAAGCTGATGCAACAGCTCACCCCCTTCCAAGATATTCACTTTCTTTGCTTGTTTCTGGACCCCACCTCCTCCTGGGTTTCCTCCACCTCCTCCTGGGTTTCCTCCATCTCCCTGGATGCTCCTTCTCAGGGTCCTTTGCTGGTGCCAGTACTTCCCTCATGTAACTTCCCCATGCCTTAATTTTCACCCTCTTCTCTTTAGTTCTAAATCGTGCCAAGTCTGGTTAATCTCACGAATTCCCTTAACTCTAAATGTTATCTGTGTTGATGACTCCTCCCAAGTTAGTATCTCTACTTGAATGTATAAACTAACATGTCCAAAACCAAACTCTCAATTCTAGCTCCCCATCCCCACTGCTGCGCCACTGAACCACTTCCTCTCTGTACCTTCTGCATATCAACAAGTGACACCACAGTCAGTGCTCAAGCAAACACCTCAGAGTCAACCTTGAGTCTTTTGGCCGTCATCTTCTCCTGCTCATCCACAATCCATTATCTTGTCCCATTGGCTCTGTCTGCAAAAATATGTAAAATATCTTCTCTGAGTCTCCACCTCTGACACTTTCCCTCTCACCTGGACACCTGCAGTGGTTTTCACCCCTGTCCTCTACAATTCATTCTCTACTTGGAGAGGTGGATAAAGAGCTGAGAACGGAGCCTGGGGAACACACATGGAGAGGATACAGCAGAACTGGTGAGGTCATTGACCTGTCCAGAGATGGGACAGAGTCCACAGGGAGGGAAGGACAGCGGTGCAAAGGAAGAGAATCTGAGCTAAAAACACTTTAAAGACAAGACTGTAGAGGGTGACCATCATTTCTGGGCAAAAGTGTGTCTCTGAGGATGTGCTGGCCGAGCAGAAGTGAGGGCCATAACAACACACAGGATGGACCATCCCCATGGAAGCCACAGCCACCCTGGATGAAGGCAGACGATGAGGAGAGGGAAACCACGAGCCAGGTTCCTAAGGAGCGTGGACACCAACTAGGAGATAAATCTGGGCCTTCCAGGCCCTCTATGTTCCATGTGATGCTGAATCTAACATTTCTGCCACACAGTTGCTCACCTACCTCACCTATTCCCTGGCTTTCTTTGAAGCCCTTCTTTGGGTCCCTAATGCCTGGGCCATCAGAAACCCTCATTAGTTCTGCCTTCTCTCAACCTGAACACTGCCAACAGATTAATCTCCCTAGATAATGGGTACTTTCAGTGATACTATTCCCCCGCATAGAAATCTCCAGTAGCTCCCCAGAACCGATCTCAGCACAGTACAATCCCTTCCCTTGCCATGGGAGGCCTGAGTCTCCTAAGCAGTGCTCATTTCTGCCCCCATCATCTCCTCCTCATGCTTCTGAACTGCAGGAAACCTGACTCCCTTTTTTCAAGCACCGCTGGTACTTTTCACTTCCCTTCTATTGCTCCTGCTGCTTCCTCTTTCTGGACTATAACCTCTTCCCCACCCTCAGCTGGAATTATGGCGTACAATACAGTCAAGAACACACTTTTGAACTCAGATTCAGATTCCTATCTGGGAATTAATATCATGTCAAGTACTAATTCTGTGACGTGGAGCAAGTCAGGTAACCTGTCTGAGCCTAGGTTTCCTCATCTGTAACTGGGAGCTGAATAAAGCTGCCCCAGAGAAATAGAGAAAAATCTATGCTAAGCAACAAGCATAGTAGCTACCACGGGGAGGGCCCTCAAAGAGGAAGTTATTATGTTTCATACCCTTTCTCTAGTAATCCTTCCCAGATACCCCTTGAGAGCAGTCTGTCCCTCTGTTGAGCCCTGTATCAGCCACGTTGTCTCCTGGAAGCAACTCTGCATTCTACACCTTTATATCTGCACCGACACCTTCTCTGCTCGTTAAAGGCAGGGATTTAGCAAGTCTTGCCCACTTCTCTGTGTCCTCCAGCACAGCTCATGTAGGACTCTGGAAAGTTTACTGAATCAAATTACCTTTAATTTCCTAGCAGACAAATACAATCTCAGCTGTGGTGATTTTTCTAGCTGTTCAAAAGGCTGGACTGAGGAGGAAGAGTGGGTAGACTTGGGGCAAAGCAGTATTACCATCACCTAGTATCCAAAACCGGAGAAGGCAATGGCACCCCACTCCAGTACTCTTGCCTGGAAAATCCTGTGGATGGAGGAGCCTGGTAGGCTGCAGTCCATCGGGTCGCGAAGAGTCGGACACGACTAAGCGACTTCTTTCACTTTTCACTTTAACTCATTGGAGAAGGAAATGGCAACCCACTCCAGTGTTCTTGCCTGGAGAATCCCAGAGATGGGGGAGCCTGGTGGGCTGACGTCTATGGGATCACACAGAGTCGGACATGACTGAAGTGACTTAGCAGCAGCAGCAGTATCCAAAATACATCCCTTACCCAAAACCTGATAGCTACCTGATATCAGGGCTTCCCTGATAGCTCAGTTGGTAAAGAATCTGTCTGCAATGCAGGAGACCTGGGTATAATCCCTGGGTTGGGAAGATCCCCTGGAGAAGGGAAAGGCTACCCACTCCAGTATTCTGGCCTAGAGAATTCCGTGGGCTGTATAGTCCATGGGGTCACAAAGAGTCAGACACGACTGAGCGACTTTCACTTTCACCCAAAACCTATTGCTTTAAACAATACAGGAAACAGCTGGTTGATTTGAGAACCTTACTGATGTTAAAAATATTGAATAGGAAGACTGTCCCCTTACGGTCAGCTTGCAGAAGAACAACATGATGCAGAGTCAAGGCCATCCTTTGGGAGTCAATGGTGCTCAGGATCTTGGCAGCTGCAGTCCCCAGCAGAGGCTTCCCGTTGTACAGGGTGTAGTAAGTCAGCTCTGCAGGATCCTTGGGTCCTGGCACCCGCTGCATCTTTACCATCTTTCAAAAAAAGATAGGCCTTGTTTACAGGGCATCGTTCATCAACTCTGCAATTACTCACATGATCAGCAGGCTCGTTCCCGACTGTGAAGCCTTCTGCAGCTAAGTGGACCCATAACATATATTTTAGGCATCAACCTTCATGTACCTCCCTAACACCAATATCTCAAGAAACCCTACTATCACTGGAAGAGGAAGGCAGGGAGGAGAAAACAGTCTTGAAAATACAAACATCTGGGAAGAACAGTTTGAGATGGAGAAGAAATGCTGAAATGGTCAAGTCTTCCAGCCTCCAGAGAACTCTGGCCTCATTTGAAAATAGGCCTCCACATGAATTCAGGGCATGTTAGGTTATGCTCAAACAAGATTTCTAATTTCAAATTCCTGCAATTGCCAGAGAGGGGGAAAAAAATGAACTTCTATGTCTGCAATTCAAAAGGTCTCTTATAAAAGCAAGGTTTGGAGACTCAAATTTCTTTTTCTAAAATAACCTTTGTTGTTTTTTCTCACTGCACTACAGAGAATTTGAAAATACAGAAAAGCATCGAGAAATGAAATAAAATAAAGACAATCTGTAACCCCTCCTCTACAAGCTAATTGCTGTCATCATTTTGGAGTATTTGCTACTGTTTTTTCCACACAAGTCTCTTATTTATCATTTTACAAAATTATTTATCATATTTTCTATGTAATATTATATATTGTCATTTTTACTTGCATCAATAGGGGCTTATTACAATAAAAGCATAAATATTAGTTTCTACATGGCATTCCAAGGTATGCTTCATAAACTTACTTACCCAATCCTTTATTGTTAAACACCTAGATTGTTACTCATGTTTTAGTATCATAACTAACAATTGATAATCACACATAAAACATAAATTTTAATATCTATATCATGTTCTACTATGTGCATGTCTCATAAACGTAACTGAACCTTCATTTGTGGACATTTAGGTTGTTATCAAGTTTTCACTAGTATAATTCTCCATTGATAAACATGGCATCATATAGTACTTCCCAAAGTGTATCTTACAGATTATGAGTTTCACAGAATATCAAAAGATGTAACAAAAATGTTTATAGCAGCATTGTTCATAATAGCCAAAAAAAATACAAAAATTCAGAAGTCACTAACAGTAGGATGGAGAAATGAATTATAGTACTGCTGCACAATTAAATATTATAGAGTAGTAGAACTATGGCTCTTTGATCCAATATGGGTGAATACAAAATCCTGATATGGAGCCAAAGAGATAAATTACAGAATATAAAGTTCAAAAACAAACAAAACCAAATGATGCACTGGTTAAGGATACACATGAGAATGGTAAAATCTATACAGAAAACACAGGCATGATTTAGTACAAAATCCAGAAGCACACTCAACTCTGGTAGAAAGGAAGCAAGTAGATATAATCAGAAAAGACACAGAGAAAGCTTCTGGGGTAAGGTAACAGTAATGTTCTTACTCTTTGGGTTGTGGGTTCTTTTTTTATTAGTGTTCTTTAAACTCTGCATATTTTTATGCTCCTAAGTATGTATGCTATAAATAACAATTAAAAATAAATATTACTACAATCTAATAAAAAATGGCTTTTAAAATAATCTTACCAGACATTTCACAAAGAAAGATATCTGAGGAGCCAATAAACATGTTTTTTTAGATGCTCAATCAGGAAATTCAACTAAAACCCATAAGGCATCACTATCAACCACCAGAATGACTAAAATAAGAAGGGCTGACAACTCTGTGTTGATGAGGAGGTGGGGTAACTCCACATCCGGTTGGTGGGAGCATCAAACAGTACACTGTGGGGAAAGGTCTGGCAGTTTCTCACAGTGTCTCGCATACACCAATCCTGTGAACCACTCTTACATACCCAAGACAAATGAAAGCATATGTCCAAAGATAGATTTGCAGAAGAAGGTTCATAGAAGCTTTGCTTATTGTAGCTAAAAACTGGGAAAAGCCCAGGTGTCCATCAACAGAAGCATGGATAAACAACCTGTAGTATATTTCATACAAGGGAATATTATTCAGCAATAAAAAGGAATAAACTACTGAATAAAAGAACAACATGGATGAATCTCAAAAACACTCCAGAGTCAAAAAACTATACAAAAGAGAATATACGGTAGGATTTCATTTATATGAGGTTGTAGAACAGTCCAAACTGATCCATGGTGTGGAAATGATATATGTTATCAAATATAAAATGGTAACATAATACACTGCTAATGGTAGAACCTAGATGTTGAGTATATATGTGTTTACATCATAATTTTTGGAACTTTTCTATGAGTTTACAAATGTTCATAATAAAATGTCAGGGAAATGTAGATGTTATTATAATGGTACTTAGATTTAGAAATCAGTATATTGCAGAAAGGCAAGGAGATTACTTACAGGTCTTTTCAGAGTCTTTGTATGCTAATATACCTTTGGAATCTTCAAGAATGCTCTAGAGGATGCAGCCTTACCCAAACTTACCTGGTCAGATGGTCACCTTATAAAACCATTTTCTGGACACTCTGAGAAACAGTGCTCTCATCTCTTCATCTTTGCATTCACCTTTATCTTCTTGAAAGGAATTTCTAGGGGTAAGGTTGTGACCATCTAAAAGGTTCTTGTCTAAATTACTCACGTGTTCTCCCATTTACTGAGTTTGAGGGTGCCCATTTCACTGCATCCTCATCAACACTGGATAGTACCAATTCACTCACTTTTAGGAGGTGAAAATGGCATCTTGTGGTAGTTAAAACTTGCATTACTTTGATGACAAATAGAGTTACACAATTAAAAATGCTTACTCGTCCTATGTATATCTTCTTTGGACTCACTTTTTCAAATATATCCACTAGAAAAATATCTTTAGATTCTAGACATTTAAATTTCCATATTCATGAAGGTGGCTCATCTTTAAAAATCATCTGAGCCCAGATGAAAAGCTTCTCTGCATGAAGGATGATGTAAGCTCTACAGAGTGAATTTTATTTGGGAAATTGGGGGTGTTATTTCTGTCCCCAGTGGGAGAGGAGGTAGGGAGAACATTAGTATAACCAGGTACAAGTTGAATGAACATTCAAGCAACTAATAACTTTGCTCAATTTCAATTTAACAGCAAATTCTTCCTAGCAAATTCCTCCAAGGATGATGTTGGAAGGTGATCTACGCCCTTGGTAAATTGGAGATTTGCAGAAATAAATCCCTAGTTACTTCACTCAGGTTTTCCAGGTAACAAAAGGGGCCACACACACTGAGTACTCAGGAAAAAAGAGGAGAAAACACTTCGCTGGGCTCTTTTAGGCACTTAGAATGTGCTGCGTTTCTTAGGTTAACAAATAATCGGGAGTGGAGGGTGATTCTTTCTCCCGCTTCGGTTGATGCAAACTCCATTTCAACTGTCTGAATCGCAGTGACTTCCTTTCTGTTACTTGGAGAAATGTGAATTATAGGGCTCACATGGACCCCCAGAAAGGGAATCACAAACCTGGCACATGAAATTAATGACCTCTTTACCTCATTACGAGGCTGTCTCAGACCACAAAGGCTTTTAGAACCGAAGGGACATTCAATAGGACAAGAGGCCAAATACACCAACTGTGAACGGGGGACCTGGAGTCTCCCTAAGGGGTGGGATGTTGCCTGATGTAGGAAACTGTGTTCCAAAAGATGGGTTGCTTGTACTTCCAAGATTGCCTGGGGACATGATCTGCAGACAGACTATGGGAATGTCTATAATTTCCTTTAAAGCTTCCTCTTAGTGTGATACCATGCATGTGTGTTTGGGTTATGTTATACCCTAGATGTGGTCAGTCACCAATCAGGAGTTCACACCCCAGGGGCAGTTGGCAAGATGCCACAGAAGATGCCCACTTTCTAGAGGCGACTGCCAGAAGTGCTTCTATAACTTGATACCTTGCTCCACGGAGCTTTAATTAGCATAACAAATGTTAGAAATGGATTCTCACTGGGTAGAAGTAGTGATACTCAAGATATGTCAATTGGTTAGAATATGCTAGAGACATTCCCACTCTTGCTTGAACTGGACAAAGAATCTAGAGAGGCTCAGAGCCTCTACCCTCAGGATGGAATCTCTGTTGGGTTCCCTCTGAAGTAGACTCTGAGATGAGCGGAATGCTTGTCATTTATTGGAGAGGTGCAGAGAACTGATGGGGGGTGCATTAGGTAGGAAGCAAGTCACCATGGTGGAAAACCAAAGCTTAATTCTGTGAGAAAGCTCTGCTGATGATCCTAAAGCACACTTTTCAGAATTCTCCCAGCCAAGAAACCAGAGAGCTGTGGTATTTATACCCCCACTGCCAGTGAATTCCCAGGTACTTCCAGCCAGCCATGACTGGGCAAAGTGGGTTCTGGCATCTCAAGAGTCAGCCCTTGAATAAAATGATGTTGGAAGTCTATCAGCCTTCATAGAAATGGTAAGCAAGTGTGGGCAGGGCCCCAGCAGTGTCTGCTACAGCGTATTCCCCTAAATCCCAGTGAGGTCAAGTGTCCCTTATAAATGGAGAGGGTTCTGTTTGTTGAAACAGACTCGACAAGGCCGACAGAACCCCACTTTTGGGAGGCTGATGAGTGTTTCTGCTGATCACAGCCATGGTGCTGAGAGGCCTGAAAGCTGGGACCTCATCCAGCCTCCAGAGCAGGTTGCGGGGGAGTTGACACTTACTAATAATGTTTTGTTGAATAAATATGCACGTGTGGGCAGCATGTCTTCTGAGACCTGCTTCCCCCTGCAATCCAGAGTGAGAGTCGGGAGAGCAGCTCTCACCCTCCTTCACGATGCCGATGATGACCAGCGACCCCGCCAAAGTAAGAGCAGTGTGGATTAACCGGCCTTATCAGCTTGTGGTGTGCACGCACCTCAGCACGCAGCACGATCTACTCCAGCTCAGGAAGCAGGTTTCCATACCTTTCTTATAGACTCTCGCGGCTTTGCACGCACCCACCTGCACGGTGTAGCTTCCCAGAGTGGTGGCTCGTTTAAACCGCCGGCCTTGCTGCTGGGACATCATGAACAGCTGGGCCAGGCGCTGCTCCATGACCCGGGCGAAGCTCTGGTTGTGCAGGCCCACCAGGGAATTGTCCACTCCCTGCAGCACTGCGGACACAGAAGACAGAGCCGCTGTCAGGGGAGAGGCTCTCTGCTGACTCAGAAACCACAGCCACCACGGCCGGGCCTGCACCAGCCGTAAGGGTCGTGGGCCTGACCCCATGACGGGGTCTGGCCGTCCTTCCCTCTCGACAGCCCCAGGGGTTAGGAATCGCTACCCACCTGTTTGAGATGCTGAAGAGGTTACGTGACTTGTCTAAGTTCACACAGCTAGTCATCAGCAAAGCCGGGGCTCAAGCCCGAACCCCTGAAGCCCTGTCCTTCACAAGCTGGGACAGGTGTAACGACCTAAACTTGTTGTACTAGGTCCCAACCTCATTGAAGATAGTATGTTCAGTCAGAGTCTGTATGGGAACACAGCATTGCTGCAGGAACAGCTGATTGGATTTCTTGGTGGTTCCTGGTTCAGCGCTACCCTGATTCTACTTTTCTTTCCAACAGCTTTGCTGAAGAATCTAAGCTCCATCCTTGAGAGCAGGATCGTGTGATAGAAAGAATGAGCTCTCTCAGCGCTGGCACTTGCCAGCTAAGGGACTTTGGGCAAAACACTGGCCCTCTCAGAGTCCAAGTCCTTCTCTGTAAAATGGAATAAGAAAGGCTACATCACAGCAAATATATTTCTAGTGGGCTTTAAGGTTGAGATGAGATGTATATAGCAGTGTAGCACAGAGCCTCCTGTGTGGAAGGTAAATGAAACCCTCTCTTTCTACCCTTTCTCCACTTCTGGACTTTATCCACACCCAGAGTATCTGTAATCAATAAGTAAAGCACTGATACAGAATTCCAGGCTATGGCTAGTGCCTGGAGGAGGATTTTAATGAACACCAGGACCATTAGAATTGCTGCAGTCACTTACTACGGGGGCAACTGCCTTTATGCTGTCTATTCCCCAAGCCAGCCCTTCTTCCAAGTCCCTTGGGAAGAAGCACACTTCTCCCCAAACACCTAAAACACTCCCTCCAAACACAGTCATCCCTGAAAACAAAAATGCTAAAAGCAATTCTCTTCTTAGACCAAAACTTACACGGGCTGGGGATGTAATACAAGATTTTTCATTTAGCAGAGCTTGTTCTACTACAGTCCAGCCAAGGACCATTAATACCACCCCGTCTACTGGGATCTGAAAAGAGCCTGGATATAAAGGCCGTATTGTTACTATGATGGCATCCTAAGAGGGCCAGAACAAGGCACAGATGACAGTGAGATACAGACAGCGATGTTGAAACTCATCATGAGAAAAGTGAAACTCACAGCTGAGTTTCAGAAGTTATTTCTTCGAAACCACAAATCCTAAAAAAATCCCCATGGAGGGCATAAAGCAGCTTTCCTTCCAGGGCCCTCGTGAGGGACTCCCAGCTCAGCAGAATTCCTGCAAACAAACTCCTGCAAACATTCCTGTGCCTCCCACGGTGGCGGGTCCCAGAGAGGCCCCTCCAAGCCCTCCTTAGACAGCTGTCAGGCTGAGGAAGGGCTGACCCACCTCCTGACCCCAGAAGGAGAGCCCGTGTTCCTTCAAGTTCAAAGATACCCCTCCCATAAAATGACAGCGCCAACTGCGGGATTACTTCTATGCTGGCCTCTCCTGACCAGTGGGCAAGGGTGAGAGAGGGAATGCAGGACTGTTGAGGGGTGTCATCATGAGTTACTTTAGAGAAACCCCAGTGAAGATGCAAAAAGGGCGGACATCAAAGAAGAGAAGAGTCAAGCCTCCAGGTGATGAACCGTTTCAGAAATAGTGGTGATGGCTGCACAACTCTGTGAACATACGTAATGCTGCTGTGTTGTACACTTAGAAAAATGGTACCAATGAACCTAGTCCCAGGGCAGGAATAGAGACACAGATGTAGAGAACAGACTCGTAGACACTTGCGGGAAAGAAGAGGGTGGGACAAATGGAAAGAGTAGCATTGATATATATACACTGCTGCTGCTGCTGCTAAGTCACTTCAGTCGTGTCCGACTGTGTGCGACCCCATAGACGGCAGCCCACCAGGCTCCCCCGTCCCTGGGATCCTCCGGGCAAGAACACTGGAGTGGGTTGCCATTTCCTTCTCCAATGCATGAAAGTGAAGCGCTCAGTCGTGTCTGACTCTTAGCGATCCCATGGACTGCAGCCCACCAGGCTCCTCCGTCCATGGGATTTTCCAGGCAGGAGTACTGCAATGGGGTGCCATCGCCTTCTCCCATGTATACACTGCCACGTATAAAGTAGCTAGCTAGTGGAAGCTGCCGAATAACCCAGGGAGCTCAGCGCCGTGCTCTGTAATGACCTGAAGCGGAGGGATCAGGGGTGGCGGTGGGAGAGAGGTCCAAGAGGGAGCGGGTATATGTATACATATAAACGATCCACTTTGCTATATAACAGAAACTAACACAACATCGTAAAGCAATTATACTCCAATAGAAAATAATAACAATTTTTAGAAAGGTTAAAACGATAAATCACATGTTATCTGTATTTTACCACAATTTTAAAAATTGAGAGGAAAAAAATGCCTCCAGGGAAGTGCAGGAAGCTATGGGAACCTGCCACAGAGTTCCACGGAATCAATAGCTGGGCAGCTCCCACGTGCCTCATGGCTGTCTGCAAAGAGGATGTGTCCTTCCCAGGAGGAGCTGAACGAGAGCTGGGGTGTGAGCCGGGGGGCCTGGGTTTGAATCCTGATGCCCCCTTACTGAGTGTTCTTGGGCAGGTTCCCCTGGGCTCCAGTTCCTCATCTGAAAACACAGTTATTATAAGCTACTCCTGACTGTATCATGAAGAACAGAATACTTTATAAAAGAAAACTGCTTCGAGCATAGTGCCATAAAGCCCTTGAGAGGATGCCCACAAGTAGTAGCTGTTGTTACCCAAATGCACCTACCTCTTGCTTTGCTAGACACAGCAGAGGAAGTGTCTTCCTCAGCAGAGGAAGGAATCGCCTGGAAAACACAGAACTGTGTTCCAGGACTTCAGCTCCTCTCCTTGCTCCTGAGGAGTCCAGTGGCCTCAGGCTCCTGGCCTGGGGAATGGGTTGAACAAAGCTATCTTCATCTCTCCGTTCCCAGTCTCCTACCCCTTCTGGAAATGATGGTTAAAGTTGGTGGTGGCCGCCTACAGGTCTAGACAGTGGTCATGGGCCAAAGGGAAGGCAGAAGGGTCCTCCTGAAACCTGAAACTGTTCCCCCCTCTCCCTGCCCCTCAAGCAGAAATCAACTGGTCCAATCAGTCCCGAACACAGAGGTAGGATGGGCAGGGCAGGCGGGGGGTGGGTCACTGTGTATGCTGATTACAATGGCAGCACCAGTGATAACAAGTGAGGGATGCTCAGGTGAGTGGGCAGGGGGTCAAGTTGCAAGAGAATCCTGAAAACAAGACCATGTATGGAGCCTTTTATTAAGCACGTGTCACTCAAACAGAGGCAGGGCAAGACAGAGGTACATAAGGAAAGGCCAAAACAAGAGGCTGACAAGGACAGGGTGTCTTACCATCGAATGTCAATATTAAAGTTAGTATATTAAAGTTAGTGAAGGGGGAAATATATCTGTAAGTTTTTTTTTTTTTAAAGCATTCCCTGGGCAGGAAACATGATTTTATAAGTGTTACATAACCTGCTGGCTTCAAAAATGTGTTGCTGGGTTAGCACTGTCTCTCTTGGGCATAAGCTCTGGAGGGTCGCTGCTGTTTTCCTTTGTAAACACATTTCTTTTGTTGGCTTTCTTCGCAGGTAAAATAATCTGCAAATCCATGGCTTTGCAGGGCGGAAAGAAACGCAGTTTTCTGCAGTTTAGGAGAGGTCTTGAGCAGGCTTCACCGAGCTGCTAGTTAGTATTCCAGGCTGCACCCACCTACTGCTTACTTGGGACAGCAAGGGAGGGAGGAGACAGGCAAGGGAAGAGGGAGGTTGGGGAGGGCCTGCTTGTCCAGGCTCATCTTCCAGGACTTGCAAAATCTTGCTCCCTCTTTGTTATGGGCTGAATTGTTTCCCCCACACCTCATCTATTGATGTTTTATCCCCCAGGACCTCAGAATGTGACTGTTTGGAGATAGGGCCTTTAAAGAGGCAATTAAGATACAAGGAGGTCATTAGGGTGGGCCTAGTCCTAAATGACTGGTGTCCTTGTAAAAAGGGGAAATTAAGACAGAGACCTGCACAGTGGGAAGGTGGTTGTCTTACAAGCCAGGGAGAGAACCTCAGAAGCAAACAACCCTGCTGACAACCTTGAAATGAGACCTCCAGCCTCCTGAGTCATGAGGAAATAAATTCCTGTGTTTGAAGCCCCCACCCTCACCCCCCAGCCTAGGGTAGCAGCTCTAGCAGACCAACACCTTCCTGTCCCTCCCCTTGAAACCGAGGAGGACCCTTTGGGGCTCCTGGGCATGGAAGCCTTTCTGTCCCCTTCTCTTGTAGGCAAGACTCCAGCCGCTGCAACCTTCCCCAAGTTCCAAAGGGCAGATTCAGAACAGTTGCCTAAAGAAGGAAAGAGCTGCCACGAAACCACCTGAGGCAAGATTACAGGGACCGGAGAAGTGCGGCAAGGTTCGGAGACCGACCACCTGAGACCCCGTGCGTGTTAAGTTGCTTCAGTCACGTCCAACTCCTTGCAACCCTATGGACGGCAGCCCACCAGGCTCCTCTGTCCACGGGATTCTCCAGGCAAGAATAGTGGAGTGGGTTGCCATGCCCTCCTCCAGGAGATCTCCCCAACCCAGGGATCGAACCCACGTCTCTTACATCTACCTGCATTGGCCGGCAGGTTCTTTACCAACAGCACCACCTGGAGACCCTTCACACACCTTAATCTTTTTCACAACCCTACCTTGAACTATTGCTCTAAAACTCCTGATCAAATGCTCCCAGGTTGGGACATGTAGTTTTTCGAGGCAGGAGCTTGCGGTATCCCCCGTTATCTAGCAAAGCAATGAAGCAATCCATTTCTACTTCACCCCAAACTGCCTCTGAGATTCAATTTGGCACCAGCGAACAGAGAAGCTGAGCTTTCGGCACCACCCTTAATGACCCAGCTAGTCACTCCGCCTCCTACAAGCCTCTGTCCTCTCTCTCTCTGCTTCCAACTAATCCTTGCTTCTCTAATTTTCAGAGCTACTGTCTGGCTTTAGAAAAACACAAACAAGAACTTTTTTTTGCTGTTTCATAAATCTCAGCTGGAAAATGTCAAGGAAAATGCCACCCAAACACCCTTTTACTTCCGTCCGCCTTCACTGTCAGGACACGCTGGGCTTCACCAGGATCAGCGTGGGTGTGCCCAGGGAGAGAGAAAAGTGCATGCCTGGCATTCCTCTGACTTCCACTGGCTTTTGTAGGGCAGTGCAGAAAGGCCTAAGATCTTTAAACGAATAGACAACCATTCGCATGGACATGCCCCAGCCCTCCACAGCTTAACGCTATTCCTTCTGATGGATGCATGTTTTGCAAGAAGGTTCCAGACTGGGACTTTCAAGTTAACTGTTTTGAACTGATTATTTAACACCCATCTTGAGTGTGATGTCTTTTTTAAAAAATTTATTTATTTTTAATTGAAGGATAATTACAACATTGTGTTGGTTTCTGCCACACCTCAACATGGATCAACCATAGGTATACACATGTCTCCTCCTTCTTCAGCTTCCCTCCCACTTCCCACCCCATCTTACCCCTCTAGGTTGTCACAGAGCCCAGGTTCTTATCTCAGTTTATTCTACTTCTGGTCCTATGAAAGGAACTCCTTGGCTTATAAGGCAGAATCCAAGAAAAGATGCCAATTTTATCACTGAAAGGCAGACAAGCTTTTAAAAATAAACCAACTTGATAGGGTGAAATGAGCAATGAAAGAGGAGATTACCTGTAATTACCCAATAGTCTCTCGTTGTTTCTGATATATCGAGGTTGGGGTATTCCAGCGCTAAAACAAACAAGAAACACACCAAATTACTTTCACAGGTTTTATATATAGATATTGTTCAGGGAAATAGACATAGCTGACAAAATACCAAGCAGCTAAATCCTACTCTATCATTCTTGGGAACTCTAGGACATACAGCCTGAAACTTGCTTTTCAGAAAACTAAAATACTCAGTAAAGGGCTAACTTTCAGAAGAAGAGTTTTCCTAAGGCTTTTGGGTATCTGCTTTCAGCTTTTCCATCAAAACCTTCTTAAGCAAAACAATTTCATTGTCAAGACCTACAATGAGAACCTGTCAACTATAGCCTTTTTAAAAAAATTATCTATCATATTTTTAGGAATAATTATTTCTTGAATGGATCTTTCCAAAGTCAAAGACTAAGTTTAGTAGCTAAATGCTTGCAAGCAATGGCCCTATTTCTTTATAGTGTGGTGACCATCAGAGTTGATATATGTTAAGGGTTTAGCACATTATTTGGCACATAATAAGTACTCAGTAAATTATAGCAGTATTATTATTATTATTCTTAGAATATCAAGATGATAAAAGAAAAGAAATCCTTCACATGCTGCCAGGTGACATAATGCCATCTTTTATGATATTATCTTTTCCATAAAATCCAGAGTCATCTTTTCTGAGTACATGGAAACTCACAAAAGTTTGCCACTAAACAAACATTTTTTTATAAAGTCTGAGTAGCTACTTTGTGCTAATAAGTACATTCACACACATTATCTCACTTATTTACAATATAAAAAGGAACCATAGAGGAAATGAAAACAACTTTGCTAATACACGTTTAAAAAAAAACACTTACCCAGTGACCTTGAGTATGTATCAACAATTAAATTTAAGAGCACAGGTCTTTACTTCCTTTGGCTACTGAGTAAGTGTTTGGGTACAAAACGTAGGCTGCATCTTGGAAGTCTATGCCTGCTACATGGTAATGAGGATTATGCAACTGAAGCATTTGAGAAAGAGGAGGCCACAAGCCTATGGGGACTTCATCAAGTGAAGTCAGGATGCTGAGCTGCATTATAATATCTATAGCCCAGGCAAGGGCTGAAGGCCTGGGAATTTTTGTGGATGGCAGAAGTGGGGGAAACCCTAGCAACCAAGATTGCCATGAGGACAGATGCTCTACCAGGCAGTGTTATAAGCTAAGAAGACAGACTGCTTGGTTCAAGCCCCAGGTTCCATGTCTCACCAGCTATGTCAGAGGAAGCATCTTGGAGTTAAACCTCTTAGTTTCAATTTTCCCATCTGCAAAATGGGGCTAATTTTGCACCTACCACAGAGGGAAGTTGTGAGGGTTAAATGAGATACAAGACAAGTGAAGGGTAAAAGCACCTAGCCAGTGCTTTTACAACGTGCAGTGAAGTTTTCATCAATTCAACCCCCATCACACACACATTACAGTTGTGATTTTATGACAAAAGAGTTAGCATGTGGCACCACGGAGGCTTGCTAAACAGACAAGTTCCCGGAGAAGATGGTAGAGTCCTACAGGGATTCAGCCATAACTAGAACATACTCACGTTCGGCGATGGTGAGCGGTGGGTAGGTGAGGTAGAACCCCACCAGTTCAGCGGAGAGCTGGCGGAGGAGGCTGCTGGCCACGGTGCCGTTGAGGAAGGAGCTTCGGTTGGCCACCACGTACACCAAGGTGACTGTCTGGGAGGCGTTGGACGTGCTCACCATCTGAATGGACACAGGAGGAAAGGGGAGGGAGACATGCCAAATAAGATGAGGGTCTGTTTCATGGAGGCTGTGGGAGGAGAAGTTTAAGGAGAGGTCAGGAATGAAAGGGAGGTGGGAAGAGAGCAAGGAAGAGATAAGAATAACAACAGTTGTCACTTATGGATGGCTCACAACACGCCAGGCATCTCGTACCAGGCATCGTTCCAAGGGCGCATGATCTCATTTAATCCTCACACAACCCTAGGAGGTGTCTCCTGTCATGGAGGTATATCCTTTGACAGGGGAGGGAACTGAGGCCCAGAACAATCAAGGGACTTGCCAATGAACAAGTGATGGAGCCAGGATTCAAACCTGGGCAGCCTGACTTCAGGTTTTCACCACTGGTGTATGTATCTTTTTCAGGGGCTAAATGGTCGCAGGCTATTTTTATGGTTCTGAAGATACACTATAGAGCAAAGGAATGGTAGATTTAAGGAGGGTTCAACTGCTCAGACAGAGAAAGCCTGATTCAAACTTTCTGGAAATTTTAAAGTTGAAAGGACAGAGAATGCCCACCACCGGTCACCAACCTAGTAATGGACAGCATGATGAAAACTGATGACAATGAGAATGCAGAAATAGAAAACAGCTTCTTTAGAAAGTGATTCCATTTCATTGTGGTCTATCAATTCAATATAGCATATGTTAATATTACTATGAGATGGTGTAGTTTTCTTCTTGAATCTTTAAGTCAGGTTTTTAGTTATGAAGAAATGAGACTTTCATGGGTCAGTGTATATACATACAAACACCCCACAGATGAAACGTGAAAAACAGATGCAGTAGGAAGCCATTCTGCCTGGTGAGACAGCTTTTGTGGGCTTCTGTGCTGAGTGTCTGCCCCTTCCCCCACCAGATCCATTTGCCACCCCACCCTCATCCTGCTCAGAGCCCCCAGAGGCAGAACTCTGTGGACCACACCACTGGGCTACTGGTGCCCTGGTATTAGCTACAGGGAGCTCAGAAGGATGTGGGCGAGAAGGAGGAGAGTGAGGTCAGAGAGCCGGTGTTGGGGGCTCCCTCCCGGGGGGTCAAAACTCTTGTTGGGCATTTCTGGCCCAAGTTTCCCACGACTGCTCCCTCCCCTCACCTCATCAGCCCCAATGTCATAGCTTTGAAAGCTGCACCATCCCCGTGGTCACCCTAGAGCCTGGGCACACTTCTGCAAAGTCCTTTTCATTGGACTTTCCTTCATTTGAATATGTCCTCTCTTTCTGCCAGGAACTGATAGCCAGTCTGTCTAAATCCTCTGTGTGCTCAGACACAAATATCTCTGCAACATTACTTTTAAAACTTATTTTGAAGAAGACTGTCAAAAGTAAGCTGCTTCAAGCTGTTTGGAAGTTTTTCCCATAAGAGGAAGTTCCTTTTAAGTTCTCTGACACAGCGTCTCGAGTCTCAAGATTAATGATATATGGAGTCAACATTTCTGGGCAACTCTTACTTTCTCTCCAGAAGCATTTTTGGAATGTGGTTTAGCCACAAGTATTCATATCTCTTTCCCAAGGTACCAAGAAGAAAGGTATTTCTTTCTGAATAATTCGAAAGACCTCACTGTCCTGTCACCTAAAAAATAATAACTAAAGTAACTCTGCAATCTTTATCTCTATTTGGAACATTTTGGCGTGCTGCGATTCATGGGGTCGCAAAGAGTTGGACACGACTGAGCAACTGAACTGAATTGATATGTGTGTGTGTGTGTGTGTGTGTGTGTGTGTGTATATATATATATATATATATGCTTGTTTCTTTTCAACAAAACTAAATCTCACTGGATCCCAAAGAGCTTGCAGTATGGTATCTTAGTACATACTACACTAGACAAAGTAAGTTATACTTCTTTTAATTGAGAACTTTTTTATTAAGGAGACTTCACTAACATACAACACTATATTAGTTAGTTATATTATATTATATATTATATATGTTATATTATATATATATTATATTATATTACCATACTTTCTGTGGTAAAATACACATTATGTTTTACCATTTTAACCATTTAAAGTGTACAGTGGCATTAATTACATTCACATTTTTAGGCAATCATCACCACCGTCCATTTCCAAAACTTTTCCTTCATCCCAAACTGAAACTCTATGCCTACTAAATAACTCCCCATTTCTTCCTCTTCCTAGTCCCTGGGAACCACCATTCAATTTTTCCGTCTCTATTAATTTGACAAAACTGAGCACTTTTCATAAGTGGAATCATACAGTATTTGTCCTTTTGTGATTGGTTTCTTTCACTTAGAATAATGTCCCCAAGGTACACCCATGTTGTAGCATGTGTCAGAATTTCCCTTTGTTTTAAAAATGAATAATATTCCCTGGCATAGATATATCACATTTATTTATTCATTCACCTGCAGATGGACACTTAACGTTGCTTCCACCTTTTAGGTATTGTGAATAATGCTATGAACACTGGTGTTCAAACATCTGTTCAGGTCCCTGGTTTACATTCTATGGAGCATACACCAGAACTGTTGGATCATATGGTAACTCTATGCTTTTTTGATGGAATGCTAACAACAACAATGCTCTTTTACACAGCAGCTGCACCATTTGACATGCCCACCAGCAGTGCACAAGAGTTCTAATTTCTCCTTACCAACACTTGCTATTCTCAATTTTTTAAAAATAACAGTTATCCTCATAGGTGTGAAGTGGTATTCTGTGGGATTTTTTGCATTTCATGTGCTTATTGGTTACCTGTATATCATCTTTGAAGAAATGTCAAGTCTTTTGCCCATTTCTTACTTGGGTTGCTTGCATTGTTTGTTTTTTTGCTGTTGACATGTAGGAGTTCTTTATGTACTCTAGATATTAACCCATTATAGATATATTATTTGCAAATATTTTCTTCCATTATGTGGGTTGAGTTTTGATGATGTCTTTTGAGCCACAAAAGTTTTTAATTTTGATGACATCTAACATACTTATTTTTTCTTTTGTTATCTGTGCTTTTTGGTGTCATATCAACAAATCACTGCCAAATTCAACGTCATAAAGCTCTTCTCCCTGATTTTCTTCTAAGAGTCCTACAGCTTTATTAGCTTCTACACTTAGGTCTTTGATCCATTTTGAGTTAACTTTTGCATATGGTGTTAGGTGAGGATACAACTTCATTCTTCTGCTTGTGGATGTCAGTTTTCCTAGTACTACTGGCTGAAAGCTAAAGGCAAAGGAGAAAAGGAAAGATACCCATTTGAATGCAGAGTTTCAAAGAATCTCGAGGAGAGATCAGAAAGCCTTCCTCAGTGATCAATGCAAAGAAATAGAGGAAAACAATAGAATGGGAAAGAGTACAGATCTCTTCAAGAAAATTAGAGATACCAAGGGAACATTTCATGCAAAGATGGGCACAATAAAGGCCAGAAATGGTATGGACCTAACAGAAGTAGAAGATATTAAGAAAAGGCAGCAAGAAAACACAGAAGAACTAGACAAAAAGATCTTCATGACCCAGATAACTATGATGGTGTGATTACTTACCTAGAGCCAGACATGCTGAATGCGAAGTCAAGAGGGCCTTATTATGCCAGTAAGTTTGGAAAACTCAGCAGTGGCCATGGGACTGGAAAAGGTCAGTTTTCATTCCAATCCCAAAGAAGGGCAATGCCAAAGAATGTTCAAACCACCACACAATTACACTCATCTCACATGCTAGCAAAGTAATGCTCAAAATTCTCCAAGCGAGGCTTCAACAGTACATGAACCGTGAATGTACAGATGTTCAAGCTGGATTTCGAAAAGGAAGAGGAACCAGAGATCAAATTGCCAACAGCTGTTGGATCACTGAAAAAGCAAGAGAGTTCCAGAAAAACATCTACTTCTGCTTTATTGATTATGCCAAAGCCTTTGACTGTGTGGATCACAACAAACTGGAAAATTCTTAAAGAGATGGGAATACCAGACCACCTGACCTGCCTCTTGAGAAATCTGTATGCAGGTCAAGAAGCAACAGTTAGAACCAGACATGGACCAACAGACTGGTTCCAAATCAGGAAAGGAGTACATCAAAGCTGTATATTGTCACCCTGCTTATTTAACTTATATGCAGAGTACATCATGAGAAATGCTGGGCTGGATGAAGCATACACTGGAATCCAGATTGCCAGGAGAAATATCAATAACCTCAGCTATGCAGGTGACACCACCCTTACGGCAGAAAGAGAAGAAGAACTAAAGAACCTCTTGATGAAAGTGAAAGAGGAAGAGTGAAAAAGCTGGCTTAAAGCTCAACATTGAAAAAAACGAAGATCATGGCGTTTGGTTCCATCACCTCATGGCAAATAGATGGGGAAACAACGGAAACAGTGACAGACTGTTTTTGGGGGCTCCAAAATCACTGCAGATGGTGACTGCAGCCGTGAAATTAAAAGACACCTGCTCCTTGGCAGAAAAGTTATGACCAACCTAGACAGCATATTAGAAAGCAGAAACATTACTTTGTTGGCAAAGGCCCATCTAGTCAAAGCCATGGTTTTTCCAGTAGTCATGTATGAATGTGAGAGTTGGACTATAAAGAAAGCTGAGTGCCTAAGAATTGATGCTTTTGAACTGTGGTATTGGAGAAGACTCTTGAGAGTCCCTTGGACTGCAAGGAGATCCAACCAGTCCATCCTAAAGGAAATCAGTCCAGAATATTCATTGGAAGGACTGATGCTGAAGCTGAAACTCCAATACTTTGGCCACCTGATGTGAAGAACTGACTCATTTGAAAAGGCCCTGGGAAAGATTGAAGCAGGAGGAGAAGGGGATGACAGATGATTGGATGGGATCACCAACTTGATGGACATGAGTTTGAGCAAGTTCTGGGAACTGGTGATGGACAGGGAGGCCTGGCATGCTGCAGTCCATGGAGTTGCAAAGAGTAGAAATTAAGGAAACAATACCATTCACCATTGCAACAAAAAGAATAAAATACTTAGGAGTATATCTACCTAAAGAAAC